AGACATCTAAGAGTGGGATAAAAGCAGGATTAAAAACCAAAAACTCTGGGAAATTAAATAAGTCATTGGATCTCAATAACTAATTAAATTCCTAGTAATTCTTTTGTTTAAATTCCTAGTAATTCCATTCATTTCTTTAAGAATTCCATCTGTAAAATAGTCTTGGCTATGAGGAAAGGCTACGTAGCCATAGTTATCTATTAAAACGAGGTGTGTAACATCACCACCTGGTAATTACGTTTTTCCTGCACATATTAGTTAACAGGTGATTTATTAGCTTCCTGTTCTGTTAATTACTTACCTGCCATCATCATGTTGCTATGTTACAATTTTCCACAGAATGTACTTACAGATAGCTTAGGAGTACCCACGAGATCTGAAACATAAGCAGGTGAAGGAGCTTGTGGAACCGAGTCACTGGGTCTTTGCCTTTTGTGATGTATAAATAAAGCTTAGGTTCCATGAGGGGAGCCCACACATGCTGCAGTCACTGGAAGAACAAACGGCCTCAGAACAAAAACTCTAAACCTGGACCTTCTTTACAGAAACTCCAGGTCTTGAAGTCAGCAAGTAACGTAAAGCCAAAATATGAAGAAGCTTAAAAGACCAGGAACTCAGCTTAAGCATCCTGGGCATGGTGTGTCCCCGTAAAGCAAAATTTAATTTATAAGATAGAATGGGCTTCAAGATGCCGTAAAAGTAATAAGAATCCGAAACTGGGGATCTTACATGTTGCTCCCAACAATGTTCAGCCTGGAATCATGAAAAGTCAGAAATAAAAATATTCTTTTGCATGTTACCACAGGCAGTGCTAACTTTAGGTAAAGTTTTATGAGGAAAAATTTTCTGTTGCTATGAATACATTGTATTGATAGATGTATTAAAATGCATTAATATCAAGGTATTAATCAAGGTCTAGGTAATGCTCCTAGTTGGAATCATAGAATCAAAGTATTCTTAAGATGGAAGGGGGTCTATAAACTCTCTGGTCTAATCCTCTCACTTTACAGTTATACAAATGGAAGCACATAGAAGAAGTGACACGCTCTTAGTCCTCCAACTAATTATGGAGAAGCAGCATCACCTTGTGGAGGAGGTGGTCAGGGACACGGATGGGTGCCTTGATTCACCCTGTGGGCAGCCATCTGCTCCATCTCGTCCAAATCAGGCTGATTGTGATTCTAATCAAATCTCTTTATACAAATTAAGAAATAAAACTTATGAGAAAATATTGCTTCTGCTTGTATGATACATATGTTCCTGAAAACCTGTGAGTTAATTGTTTTAAATGAGATACATTTTGGACTCTTGCTTTCCTTGTTTTATCCTCAGGAGTAGTCAACATCATGAGCCACTTTCCTTCTCGAGATGCTCTCTCTTGCAAGTGCCTAAGGCATTGGACTGCTAACCAGAAGCCTGGAGGTTCAAACCCACAAGCTGCTCCTCAGAAGGAACATTGGGCAATCTACTTCCTTAGTGATTCTGCCTCGGAAACCTAAGGAGGGATCGCTATGAGTTGGATCTGACTTTACGGCAGTGAGTTTGTTTGTTTGTTTGTTTATGCCACTATCTGGAGGTAAATGTAGAGATAAAGTCCACCTCTTGCATTTACACAGTAGAAACCCGAGAACTGGAGAAAGTGAACAACTCTGAAATGGTCACACCCCTGAGCAGATGCCAGCCTAAAATCCAGGTCTTTGCCATCCCAGTGCTAAGGTTTTCCTGTCAAAAAGGTACCACATTAAGCTAAGGTTTTTTTTTTTTTAGTATTTCAATCCCCTATTTCTAGACCTTGACCTGTCAGCCTTCTATCTTTCACCTCCCTGCAGCCATAAACTCTATCTCTTCTTAACTAGGTGCTTTCTGTGCTCAGTATCTCAGCACCCTTGAACAGACCTTATCTCCACAGACCCTGCACAGTAAACTGCCCTCCGCCTCCTGACCTTCCAGCTTCAGATGCTTGGTGTGGCAGAGGGAGGAGGGGGACTTAACTGCTCATGGTTTCCCAGGAGGGTTAGTGATACAGAGGCTGGCTCCAAAGCCCCCACAAGGGGTGGGGCAAGAAGGGCTTGGTCCTGAGCAGAAGTTTGGGGCTGGCAGAGGAGGTGATGGAATATGAAGCAGAAATGAGACATTAAAGAAAAAAAATAACAGCGAATTGTTAAAACATTGGTCGTTAACTCATGTCTTCTTGCCTTCTCTTCTTTCATTCCAGAAAGAGATCTTGTCTCATTCACCATTGTGTCCCCAGCACCCAGCGCTAGGCCTGGCACACAGTAGACTCCAGTCTCTTCTGCCATCTTCCATTTCCTCCAATTTGCAAAGCTCTTTTCTCTTTCTGAGCCTTAGCACAAGCTGAGAACATTCTCTCTTTCCAAATGGCACATTCCTTCCTATCCTTTAGTCCACAGTTTAAATGTTAGCTCCTTGCAGACCCTTAATTCTATTTAAAATAAATTATGTGCACACACACAGAGGTTAGTCTCTGTTTCAGAATCCTGTTTATTTTCTTCATAGCACTTACTTATGATAATTTATGGCTATTTATTTGTTTCTTATATATCTCCCCCACTTGACGATAAAATCCATTTCCATTTCCATCTTGTTCACTGTTGCAGTCCCAGGAATCAGCATACCCAAGACGCTCAAGAGATAATGAGTGAAAGAACAAACAAGTAAATATGTACAATCAGAATTTCATAAACCTCTACAGAATTTCAATTCTGTGTTACATGGATGTTTGTTGTTGTTGTTATGTGCTGTCAAGTCGGACCCGACTCATAGCGATTCCTCCTTGGGTTTCCGAGGCAGTATCACTATGGAAGTAGATTGCCCAACCTTCCGAGGAGTGGCTGGTGGGTTTGAACCGCCAGCCTTTTGGTGAGCAGTCAAGTGCCTTAGGCACTACGCTACCAGAGCTCCTACATATGGATGTTTAGTGTATAATAAAGGTGGCATATTAGACCAGAGAGAAAAAAATGTATTCTTTAATAACTCTCTATGCACTGCTGTTGACTTGGATCTGAATCATAGTGACCCCTCTTTGGGTTTCTGAGGTGATATCACTATGGAAGTAGATTGTCCAACCTTCCTTCCAAGAAGTGGCTGGTGGATTTGAACCACCAGCCTTCTGATTAGCAGTCAAATGCCTTAGGCATTATGTCACCAGAGCTCAGGATTGACTAAATAACCAAAGCTAAAGGTGACTCTTTCCCTTCCTTCTTTATGCTTTTTATGAAAATCAGTTCCTAGTGGATCAAAGATGTAAGCCTTAAAAAAGGAAGGCATTAAAAGAGCTGGAAAAAAATGTACAAGAAGTTTTAATCACTAAATGCAGAAATGCGTTTTCTAAGTAAGTCTAAAAAGAATAGAATGATACATTTGAACACATAAAAACTAACACTGTCTTCACTTACACATATACACTGAAAATATACACAGACAAGAGACAAACAACCAATTGCAGAAAACAGAGTGCTATCCTTGACAAAAGTCTAGCTTTTATTTTTTTAAAAAACTGGGCTGTTATCAATCAATAATGAAAAGATGAACAACCCAAAAGAATAGAAAATGAGGGACATGAACTGGCAGATCACAAAACAATCATACAAATGGCTTTTAAGGACGTGAATGGGATATACAATTTTAAAGATATCAGAATGAAAGTAATATAAATTAAAACAATGAAGTAGCTTCCCCTTTGGAATTGGTATAGAGGAAAAAAATCAATAGTATGTAGTGTTGGCCATTATGTAGGTAAACAAGCACTGGAATCTTCTGGAAGGGGTGGGCTATCAACTGAGGCCAGCTCCGCAGTGCTGGTTCTGCGGTGCATGACATGACAAAATGCACACACTCTTTGAGCCAGCAATTTCATTCTAAGAGTTTATTCTTCAGAAAGACGCACATGCATAAGCAAAATGTGTATATGGAGATACTTACTTCAGCATTTTTGTAAAAGAAAAAGACCAGAAACAGCTCAAATGACCTTCAAAAGTGGACTGACTAAATAAAGGTTGATTCATATACATGATAGAATACCATGTGACAACTGAAAAGAAAGCCATCCATGCTGCATACCTCTTTAACATAGGCAACATACAACGAGGTGTGGAACAAATTCAAACCCATTTGTTTAAGCAACAGGCTGATAGAGAGAGAGACAGACTTGCTTGTACACGTATAGACCATTTCGAGAACAACTCCAAGAAACCTTTTGAAGAAAGGCCTGGGAGGTCTAGTAGGCTTATTTTTCATGGTACCCTATTGTATCATTAAGGAAAAAAAGTACCCTCTTCACATATTACTTTTTTAACTTAAAAACTAGTTAAATTGTAAAAAGATAATGATTGTAAATTCAATTTAGCCTCCAAAAAGATTCTGTGTAAACTGTAGTCATATGAGTAAAACAGGATCTCTGGTGGCGTAATGCCTAAGGCATTTGACTGCTAACCAGAGCTGGTGGTTCAAACCCACCAGCCACTCCTCGGAAGGCAGACTGGACAATCTACTTCCGTAGTGATACTGCCTCGGAAACCCAGGGAGGGGTTGCTATGAGTCGGATTCGACTCGACAGCAGTGAGTTTGGTTTTTTTTGGTAAAACAATGTTTTTTCAGTGTATTTACTTAATGCTTTTATTATCACAAGGTATAGTTTTAAATAAGCACTCAAAATATAAAAGAATAACTTTTTCAGCAGTCCAGAAGTGAGGTAGAGGAGTCCTTTAGCTGTGAATGCATTATTTAACTTAAACAAGCCTGAACTTTATTAACCAATGTTTTATTTTAAAGAGGTGGCCTGCTCCACATAGCTGGCAGTTTAAGCTCACTTGTAGCTGTTGCCACTCTCTACCCATCCCCAACATTGTATTCAAATTCAATGCCAAAGGTTACTTATTAAACTCAGGAGATACGATGGCTTGGGAAAATCATTATAAACTTTGCCAGCAGGAGGACTGATCTCTTAATGAAGTACGGAACAACTACCTAGAAAAACGAAAATGGGAAACCGTCATGTAAGTATCCACTGGCCTTGGGAATCAAACAGCCAACATATTCATTGTGGTTCACATGTAGAAAAACTTAAACTATGAAATGATCGATACTTTTATGTTTTATGTCAGCTTTTATTGTTCATTTTAACAACAGCATATGGTGCTTTTAAAATCAATTTGGAATATTTTTCTTCCATTGGCCAAAAGAAGTCTTAGGAGGGAAAAAGGACGGGTTTTAAGCAAGTAAATATTGCCTTGCAGAGAGAAGGTGGTTAATGCGTTTGTAGAATATGGACTAAAACTGTTTGTAGCAAAGTTACACAAAGCTTCATAGACTGTGCCTGTTCAGAGTTTTGTGGGCAAGATAGGTTCATGTTGCAAACATCAGTAGACCAAGACAGAAATACTGAGATGAGGCTGTGTAATTTGTATTGAAACATGAGAATATTTCGGTATCATTTCTAAACAGCACCACACATGCCCATATTTGGAAATATTTCAGATGTGCACTTAATATTTCACTATTCTTCCAGAATACCTAGGCCTCTATCAATAGCATGTCCATAAACTGTCAATGACTGAAAGCCGAATGAAACATTACCATTTGAAACCATTTATGCTCAAGACAGATCAGAGTTGCATCTTGGTTTTTCACGTTGTAAAATGTGTATCTAAAGTTGTTGCAATAAGAATTTTAATAAGGTTTTCTGACACCTAGTATTGCTTCCTCCAGCAAGAATAATTTAGCATGTGCACATTGGGAGTGGAGAATGCAACTACAAAATTTTCTGTAAATTATAGCTTTGGTAAGGACCCTGGGTGGCTGGGTGGCTGGGTTTGTGATCCACCGCTAACCTTAAGGTTGGCTGTTTGAACTCACTCAGCTCCTCTGTGGAAACAAAGGCCTGGCAAACCACTTCCATAAAGATTCCAGTCAAGAGAACCCTATGGGACAGTTCTACTGTCATACATGGCCTTGCCGTGAGTTGGAATTGACTTGATGGCAGTTAACAATCTAATTTGTTTTCAAGGTTTTATCTTTGCTATATATTAAACCTATTCTCAGATGCTTGCAAACCTACCATCATTTCCTTCAAAGAGGCATTATTTTAAAAGTCGTGCATAAACAGCATTTTTTGTACTAGCCACGATTATGAACCAACCCTTTAGAATCTTTTTGAGAGAATATTTCTGGATGTCCCCTACATTCATTGGCAGCTTAGAGGGTCAAGTTCATCTCTTGAAAGTCAGCCTCACAGGGCAGCTGGTCTTTGAGAGCAGGTCAGCATTTTTATGTGTTTCTATTTTAAACCCCCAGGGCCCATCCTACTCTCTCTCAGAAGGCAGTGAACAGCTGCCCAAAAGGGACAACCGGCTCTCAACAATGCAACCTCTCAGCCACCCATCAGGGAGTGGAGAGCCAGAGGCCCAGCAGCCTGTAAACGCTTTGTTTTCCCTCCAAATGACAAGCATGAGAGGGCTTGCTCATGGGCCCGATGTTACTCACCAATGACCTCTCATATTGGACCCTCAATCCTCCCATCTGAACATTTCATCATGAGCCATGACAGTGCTTCCAAGCAGGGAAATTTTCCCCTGGAAGATAGGTTACAATGTGTGCTGTTAATGTAAGAACGTAAGCTTCCGGAGAGGACCTTCTTTGGTTCAATGGTAGAATTCTCTCTCCTCTCCCATGTAGGAGGTCTGAGTTCAATTCCCGGCCAGAGGAGCTCACGTGCAGCCACTATTCACCTGCTGGTAGAAGCTTGTGTGTTGCTGGGGCGCCAAACAGGTTTCAGGAGAGCTCCTAGCTGAGATGGAGCAGAGAGAAAGGCCTGATGAGCCACTTCAAAAATCAGCCAGTGCAAAGCCTGTGGGCCACAGCGGTCCAATTCTGCTGTGCAACAGGCTCAGCTCAATGGCAGCTAACAGGAAGGCAGCTTCTAGAAGCTCAGCTCATGTTTACAGCTGTGTTTCTTTAACAGCATATTACAACTGAGTGCGTGAGGCTGCACAAGGGCTGGCCACTATGACATTTCAGAAAAATAGGAAGGAAATTTAAAACACGTGCATGTGGAATGAATAAATTCTAAAACTGTCTTTCCAAATGAATAAATACAGAGCCCTTTTCAAGGACAAAAGGGTTTATCCCAGTAATGTCATAAATTACTTGCATTAGAAACGTACTGGAATATGCACAAACTTGAAACTAGTATGCTTATAGTTTTAAACTAATTACACAACCAAAACAAATATACAAATTACATGCAAACAAAACATAAGTCAATGATGTCAAATGGATGTGATCAATTCACTGAAATCCAGAAAAACCAAACCCAACCCACTGCCACTAAAGTGAGTCCAACTCACAGTGATGCTATAGGATAGAATAGAACTGCCCCACAGGGTTTCCTAGGTTGTAAATTATGGAAGCAGACTACCCCATCTTTCTCCTGTGGAGTAGCTGGTGAGTTTGAACCACTGATCTTCAGGTTAGCAGCCAAGCACTTAACCACTGCACCACCAGGGCTCCTTTTTAGTAGCATACCTCAAACCCAAAATCCAAACCCACTGCCATTGAGTGGATTCAGAATCATAGCAACGCCATAAGGTTTCTAATGCTGTAAATCTTTACGGAAGTAGACTGCCTTGTTTTGCTCCTGCAGAGTGGCTGGTGGACTTGAACCACTGACTTTTGGTTAGCAGCCCAATGCCTTAACCACAGTGCCACCAGAGTGCCTTTTTTAGTGGCATAGACAGTGTCACTTTGCTGAGATTAAATGGCTGCATTCGATGTAAAAACCAATATTGATTGCTATCAAGCTGGGGTGTTCTTCTGTTTTTGTTTTTTTGAGTTTCAGTATGTCTAAAATATGATGTGGAGTGTGACTTCTTAGTTCTCCTATGACATTTCTCTGTTCAACCTACTGAGAAACTTGTTTAGACGACTCCCTGTAATGCCATCGGCCTTCTCTTGACTCAGACGTGTGCTTTTTCTATTAAGCCTCCCTCTGTTTTCTGTTCTTTATCATTAGCCTGCAACAACTGAAGTGTGGCTGTGTAGCATACGTGCCATCATAAACGCAAACCTAGATGCAGGTGCTGATATCATACACCAGCCCTCACTCATCCCAATGAGCCGTGTCCTCATCATTACTTATTTATGTAGTTATTAGCATGCAATAAACCCTTTTAAAAGCCTCGTAGGAGAGTTTTGAATCTCAAGAATATGTTCACAGACCAGGGTCCACAGATAACTACTTGACAAGCATGAAGTCTAATGCCAATAGAACATTAGCCAGGATGTTCTGCAGGACACTGGGATTCAATTAGCCAAGCTGTAACCTGAGTTACTTTGTGCTTTCCCCATTGATGTTTCCATCATTAGTGATGCTAAAGATCTAGTGTTTGTGACCAGTGGTGTCACTAGGGTTGGTGTCACCCGACATGGTAACTCATGGTGTCACCCCACCCCCCATGGACCATACAGATCCCATAGTAATGTTTATCATCAATTTCAATCCTAGAATAATATGTGATAAATA